CACCCCAAATTGAAAATAGTACATCATGCAGGTTGATTACACTCCAATGTTGACCTGATCGAGATTGAGAAGATGTGTTCCAGTTGAACAAGGTCCAGCCAAAGATCAAACAAAATTTGTGGAACTCAAAACCACAGGATGATCTGCTGAAGGACATGTACACTGTCAGCGACAGCCCTAGGTCGGCCTGACGGGATGTCGATATGGAAATAACCCGGCCGGGACCTTTGTACGAATAACCCGGCTAGAACCCGGGGTGAACGCCGAGGAGGGGATATAGTCGGATAGCCACAATAAGGGGCGACGTCCGGCGTATGTCCGCTCGAGGTGGAGCCCGAAAAGACCCGAAGGCGGTATAGTACGCGCCCAGGTAACCCGCACGTAGGGTTACCGATGAGAGGATGAACGATAGTATACTGAGAGTTGTTGCCCAGTGGTGAGAAGACGCTTCGTTGTTGCCAGGCCAAAGTATAGCTGGTATTAGACGAGGTAGAATCTAGAGTACAGGAAGATTCTACCTAGTATATATACTACTCTGCTAATTAGGTATCCAAGGTTTCATCTGAAATACCAATCGGCGTTGATGAGACAATGTATGGCACACAGGAGTGCGATCGAATATATCTCCACGGTGTATTGGCTTTTAGGGTTTGACACATGTCGGGTGTCCGATCGTCGATCCTTGAAATATCCCGGTCGGTTGTCAACACTGTCGATGTGAGTTACCGTCGCTTCAGGGATTATTCCGGGTCAGTCGCCGAGTGGATCCAGGAGTATTCCGGGATGTTCCTTTGGAGTTCGGTTGTCGTATGGAAAATGGGGTAGTAGGAAAGGAAATGAATGGGTTGTGAAAACCACGATTCATGACATACACAGAATTAGGTTCGACATTTGAGGAACAGCTATTGACTGTAGCTACCGCTTTTGTTCGGGCAGAGGAAGCAAGTTTTGAACCTCCGTCTGCTTCATGTTTATTCAATACAACTGAAGTCAAAATTAATCCTAGCCATGTGATTGAGGTACCTCTCGTATCGGCTTCATCCTACAATATTCTCGTCAGCATCTCCAAGGAGGAAATTCAAAGTTGGAAAAGTGCATACCAAGAAGATGCACACTTTTGAGAAGTCATCAAGAACTGGAAGCATGAGAAGAATTGATATAATCCACTGTACCCTCAATATCATTACAGTGATGAAGGATTGCCTTAATTCGAAGATTGGAATGGTAATGACCGCCTTTGCGTCCCGGAACGATTCAGAGTTAGTGTCATGGATAGCATGCACAACGCTCTGACGGAAGCCGCACATGGTGGTTATCACAAGACATACAATCAATTATTTAGTAGCAATTTACTATTGGCCTCGGATGTCTAGACAGCTCATACAATAGCACCTGTGATGTCTGTCAGAAATCCGAGCCTCTTTGACATGCACCCATAGGGCTTTTCCAACCAATCCCAATTCCGCGAGGACATTTGAAGTAGTTGCGATGGACTTTATCCCGGAATTACCATTATCTCAACAACATCCTCGTCATTGTGGATAAGCTCACAAAGTATGCCAATTTTATTCCATGTTCAGTGCACATTTCGGAGACCGAGAATGCACAATTAAATATCCATGCTGTTATGACCCATTATGCAACTTATGCAAATACTTATGCAACTCATTGCACGATGGAAGAACGAACTCTGGAAACACACTACCTCCAAACAAGCCCTCATAGCTCATGACTTCCAGACTGATTTGTCAAACCAAGAAAAATCAATCTGCGCTGGAGACCTGCATCGGACCACCACTAACTGTCTGAGGTTTGATCTTGTTTTACAATTCTGCATACCTTGCACAGGTACCAAGGATTTGCTGGAAAATATTTCCAAAGGCCGTAATTCAATCACAGACATCTGATGTTCACAGAAAGTCATTTCCAATCCTTCTTCCATCGATGCAAGGGGGGAAAGCTATGGTGGTGAGTAAGAGCACTTTCCGAGACTGATCACATCGAAGGAAAGGGCTGTCTCACCTGCTGCCATAGTGACAGTCTAGGAGAACCCTTATGTGCGGTGTACTTCCGTCGTCAACATAATCTTATGCTTTATGCTCTGTGCAAATTATGGTTTAAGCAATAAACTATGCAACTGATGAGAGCTTCTCAAATCGAATGATTATAAGGACATCATTACACTTATATCCAATGGAACTCGTCCTCCAGTGCTCAGCAGAGTTTGGAGTTGTACCTCACATTTCTTTGAAAGCTGTTACATTGTGAATGCATTATTGTGTTCCATGGCTTCTTCATGCATTTTGTCCTCCACCCTTTGAGTTTGGAGTTGTACCTCACATTCCTTGACCTATGGTACTCATCATTACACCCGCTCCCTGTTGTATTCCCACTCCTGCATTGTGCAGACCATTTTCGCATCAACAAGCACAGCTTGAGCCTCAGATCTTTGACTTGATATTTTGTTGCACCTGCAAGAGAGCACAAATCACCTCTGATTAATTTGAGGATACCCAGCAGTCAACCACAGATTCCTTCAATGGTTGCACTGAACCATATCGTGTGCTGGGATCCAGTCTACATTCTTGGAGCTGCTTTTCGACTGACAATTTTACCCAGTTGAAGACCTTGTTTCATCATGCTCCAGGTTCAAGCACTGAAAGGTTGGAGTCTTCAGACCGGATAGATGTAAATGATTCAAGTCCGCAAATTCAAAGTTCCAGTCTGGAATCTCATTCAACGGAGGGATTTATTGTGTTTGAGTCAAAGGACCACCAGGGATTGGTCAAATCTGGTCGAAGTATGCCTTCGCTGGGGGGGCTATGTTAGGGATCTTGGTAATTTAGGATTACTTCTCCTATTTATCCCCATAAATCTCATCTTTTGATTCACGAGCGAAGCCACACTTCTCAGCTATTATTTCGGTGTCTCAACCGAATTGTTAGTCCAATCTAAGCTTCTGAACGACTCTAAAAGCTTAACACATCAATATCTGATCGGAGATCAATACCATCAGATTACCTTTGTGCAACCTTGTTCTGTACTTTAAAACATGTTTCTCACATGTTTTCCACACTCATTAAGTGTCAACCCTTATGGTTGATACACGGCCATTCTATGTAGTCTTTTCCTTTGCAGTAGTGCTTCTCATAGTGTCTAGAACATTCTTCAGATTATCTAAGAATATTCTAGAACACCTATAGAACTTCCTGGAACATTCTTCCAACATTCCATGGAATCTTCTAGTACTATACATGAAGATTCCAAACCTATGTAGAAGGTTCTGGTTTCCAGAACCTTGGTATATAACTGAGAGCCTGTCCTCATGTGAAGGCATCCAATCTTACATCAATCCACAACGTAGCACTTCTGCATACAACTCCGAAAAGGCTAACTGTAGAGTCCATAGCTAATTCACCTACTTCCTAACCGTAGGGTCCATAGGATAGTAGTCCCTCTTGCTGAATCCGCTAACCGTAGGGTCCATAGCGCTGTGATACGGACTGCGGTTCCGTGAGTTGTCTGACCGGGTGTGGTATAGTCAGGCAAAAGCACGAAATTAGTTCGTCCTCTAGAGGGAAATTTCTCTGTCGCGGAGATTCGTCTGCTACTGTAGTACACGCAATGTTATGTATTTTTAAAAGGTGGTGGTGGTGGTACAGTTCCTTCCGTACGGAATGAACAGTCTCGCTAGGTTCCTCGAGGATTTATTTCCTCGTTGGGGGGGCTAGCCTTCCAGGAAAGCTTCGATCGGAGGGTTTTCTACACTTGCGCGAAGGGGGAACGCTCCGCAAGATGAACGCCGTTCCGTGTCGAGATGCCTGGGCTATATGGTTCCTTTTCTTATCCCCTTGCCTCGTATAGGTTGGGCAAGCAGTATCTTCAGAACTGTTTGAACACAACGCGTACGGGTTATAGCGTAGTCCTTCGTAACCCGGCTTTTTCTCTACGCTGTGGTGGTACGGCCAAGGAGTGTCAATTCCGTGGGCGTGTGTGAGGCGAAGTGGTGAGAATGAATCGTGAAGTGGTTATAATCGAATTGGATAAGCCTTCCACGACGATGGGGGTGGTACTCCGCGCACGGATCTGCGTTCGAGGCCCAAGCCAACGGTTACACGCTGCTAAGTTGGGCTGCTGGCCGTTTGGAAGTTTCGCCGCGCGTACTACAACCACGCGAGCTATCAACGCCGATGTTTTCTATAATTCCTTCTGGCTCGTTCTATTGAGCTGGAAGTACTACGGACAAGCCTCCTTGATTGAAGCTTTGGCCCAATTTGACCTTGGTTGATCCCACGGAGGGCGGCACAACCTGAGCGAGTATGTATTTTGACTAGATTCTCACCCCGTATGATCGAGGGGGAGTAGCTTAGGTATGAGCAGTGGGAGGTAATAAGATGCATTCTTCTACGGACGTCCCTGCTTTTATACTAATTTCTTTCCGACCGCCGCGCGCGACCTTGTTCCTCATTCGTCCACGGACCCCTTTCAACACTGCCCTCCTTGATTCGCGGCGAGGATCTCCATGCTCTCCCGTGCGCTTGAAGGAGATACCTAACCCACGGACCGTAACGTTGCTGCGCGTGCGCCCAATTTCCGTACTCCGTAGCTCGCACCTCCTTCCGTAGCCTTGATATGTACCGCGTGGCGACACTTTCCGTACCCCGTGTAGTACCTCTTCCGTGTTCTGCGTATGCGTCATGTCGATTTGTTAATTTTCGTGAGGTCCGTGGTGCTTTGGGGATTTATTTGGTGGTAGGCCTGGTGGCGTAACTGGTAACGCGCGCCCTTGTAGTTCCACTTCTACGCAATATGACAGTTGCGAGACCTCTGTTGGTTGTTCGAGGTATTGGCCTGGTGGCGTAACGGTAACGCGCGCACTCGAGTTTTCAACTTCTCCACGATATTACAATTGCGAGACCCTCGTTCGATTCGAGGTCAGGCCATCTTTTTCCTGTGGCAATCAACCGTGGGTCGACACCTTTTCGACGTCTTGTAGCGTAGACCTGGTGGCGTAACGGTAACGCGCGCATTATCAGTTCCTCGCAATATTGCACTATATTGCGAGTCCCTCGTTCGAATCGGGGTCAGGTCGTTTTTTGCAACCTTTTTTCCTGTGCGTGCCCCTTTTCCCGTGCGTGCTCCGTAGTGCGTATTTACCTTTTTCAGCCACGGAGGGAGCGTATCACAAAGTGATAGCTCACATCTCCTCCCCACTTTTGAATGCCGACCGTCCCCGGTTGGCGCCACGTATAAATATGACCCATCCGTAGGTCGAGAATCAGAACTTTTTCTGAAGATGGATGCCTCTGCCATTGGTCGCTTCCATTCTACAATTCATCCCCTTCCTGCGGAAAGCCTTGACATCCCGATTGGCGGCCTGGCGGAGTTCCTTTATCGCAACCTCCGGTTCAAGGTGTTCCTTGTGGCGATTTCCGTGCTGGAGGACCGTTGGGCCACGCGTACGCGTCCTTCACTGACCACGAAGGATCTTCATGAAGTGCGCGTCTGCGTACGTCTAATTGTAGACCACATGGTAGGCGAAGTTGTCCGGATATTCAGGCGATGGTGTTTAACTGTTGCTTCCTAGTATTATGCCGCACGGCTTCGCCAGAATGAGCTGCGGTCCAACTTCAGTCGCCATAACACCCCGCCTCAATCGACGTGGATGTTTTACTTGATCTCCGTACTCCTTTACGCGGTTGGATTTGACGGAGACGATGCGCCTGACATCCACGGAGTCAGTGTATTCGGCCTAGCGATTTCGCAAGTGGAGTTCTTTTTGAAGGAGTGCGCGGAATCCGTTGCGCTCTTTCGTATCTCCAAGGATCCAATATTCCTTGAGTACGAGGAGTACGACCCGCACCGTACTATCGAGGTGGTGTTTCCTTCTCGGCAGCCCCCACGGAATTTCAAACGTATTCCTATCAACGACAACCCCGTGCTTGATTTTTCCGTGAAGGCCACTACCCCCCTCTGGACGGACGCGCAGCGAGTTATCGAAGCCACTTTGCTGGCGCTTTCTCGCGTGGAAGGAGCGCTCGTTGTCGAAACGGATAGAGATGGAAAGGTAATCGGGGTCCAGAGAGAGAGTGTGGAAGGTTTGCTGGCAGACATGGTACAGTCTCCGCCGGCGAGGTCCCATACCGCTGACTGTTTGCAAGGAGGACCTCCAGGCATTATACCCGGAAGCCCTTGCCCTTCTTTGTGCACGGATGAAGAAACCTGTGGACGAGAAGCCACGGAATGGAGTATTGTGATGCTGTCCTCTTCGGAGCTGAGATCCATGCGCTCGGATCACTTAACATTTCCCGTATAAAAGGCTCGCCGTAGTCGCATGTATGTCCTCGCGTTATGTCTTTACCCATGCCCCCCCGCGTGCGCCTAAGTGCAGACTTCTACGGAATTGTGGATGCATGCGAGTTGATTATTGAACGTTCGCTCGCCACGGGCGTGCGGTTTAGCCCAGGACATCCCGAGTGCGAACAGCTGGACGACGTTATGGAGTGCATCGTTCGCCCGTCGATTTATCTGCTGGATTGCGCTCTACGGCCCGCGAATCGTGGCTGGCTGGCGCCGTATGAACTGACCATGCTGGAGTTAATCTTTGTTCATGACGCGCTGGCGAATATAATGGGCATTCTGGCGAGTCTTCCGTTCTTGTTCCGTGCACTAGTCCGTGCTTAGTATAGCTCCTGCAGTTTCATCTGCTCGAAGAAGGCGGCCACTTTCCCAGTGACGAACATATCGGGAACGCGCAGGAAGGGTTTCGTTGCTACGTAGCGTTCCGTGGTGCCTGCCTCCGTGGATTGGATAGGCTTAACGAAATGCACGCAGTTTATCTGCCCGAGTCTTCTACACGGCTCGCTCCTTCGGCGGTCTCGCTTAATCTGAGCCGTGCCATACTGCTGGCACGAGCATGGCACCTCGTTGAACCCGTGGAGGACTTCACGGCCTTTATTACTGGTAGCCCGGAAGATATTGTGTTGGGACTTTAGCGGTCGATTTGTCGGTTAATATGATGTGTTCTCCGCGGATGTTTCCGTATACGCATGCTCCGTACGCTTGTCCGCTTGCGCTAAGAGCATAAATACGGGTCGCGTCCCATCATCGATTTTCGCTATCCTTGTGTCCATGGCGCAGACCCTGTCTCCGCCCGATTCTCCACGCAGCGACCTCCTCAGAGTCATTGGGAGCCCTGCAGGGCGTGCCCTCGCAGTGAAAGTGGAGCAAGCCTGCGCACTCATTCGGCCGCTCGAGATTAGCGACACGGAATACGCCTTTGGCTCGAACTGGCGTCCACCGATCCCTATTTCCAACATACTGCACCAGGTTCTCCGTCCCGCTGTATTTGTCCTTCAGCAAGCGCTGGATCCTTCCTTCCATCGCACGAGATATGGCAGCTTTCAATTTCCGTACACCACGACCCGTGTCGTCCAGGCTACCCTGCGGAAAATGATGGAGCTAGTGGTATGCTCATCGTCTCCTCCGTGCGGAAGTCGAGCCTAATTCTGCCCCCTTTTTTGCGAACTCTTTTAGCACCTGATTTCGCTCACGGACCCCGAATATCCATCCTATGTTGCCCTGTGGGATGGCATCTCTGCGGTGCATCTGATCCCGGAAGAACCACCAGTGTCTGATTTATCGATGGGCCAGTTCGAAATCCTCGATCATATGGTCGAAATTTATGGTTTCGAAGGGGAAAATAGCGAAGGCGGTGCGCATATGAGCGCTGCGCTCGAACATATAAAACGCGTGGCCACCTGCTGGGCCGCGCTGTTGGGTACGCGTGGTGAATACCCCGAGTTCGAACGCTCCGGGCGCATGATGCGCAGACCGACTAATACCGGCTGGGTCGATCCCTCCTCGTCGTAATCATCGTTATGTCGCGCTTCGTAGTAATTTGAAATATCGTTGCGCTCTTCCGGCGAACCGAACCAGTTTGATCGCTTCGTGAGCCGGCCCACCCGTGCACCACTTAAGGAGCCGTGGATTGATAGATGGATCTGCGTTTTCCCCCCCTAAGCCATGGCGTCGATAACTCGAGCGTCTTTCGAGCTCCCCTCTTGGCTCAGAGACCTCGACGCTCATCTGCTAGCATATGACAACATCTCCGTAGGCCAGCGCCTTCGCTCGAACTGCGCGAGAGTCGAAATCCCCTCCTGGAAGCACGCCAATGGGTTTTACCGCCCGCGGCACTCCATGAAAGACCTACTTCGGTACTTCATCCGTGCCCAGATCTTCTTTGTCCAGCTCGCTGTCGATCCGGAATTTCGCCTTTCCGTGCCGCTGCCTGCGCTCTCCGTGGATGATCGTGCAGCAGTCCGTACGGCGCTCGGTCGCGTCCTCGAGCAACTGGTACGATTGCCTCCGTACTCCAGCCCGTGGCCTAGTGCTGATATTCGAACCTCCCCGTAGAGGGTAATTTATGCTTCGCGGCCTCATTTTGCCAGGCTTGCCCGTGCTCACGGCGCTCGTGTTCATCCCGACGAATTGCTCGTACCCGGGGAAAGCTCGAACATGTTTCGCATCCTGCGGATTCTTCTTGCTGAATACGGGTTCGAGCTCGACGAGGAGGGCCAGCACGGAGGTTTACAGGTCTCGGTCCTGCGCGCGTTCGAGGCCTTCGATACCACAGCCAGCTATATGCGAGCGGCCACCGCGCAGCTCAAGGAATTTCCCGAGTACAACATGGACGGTTCCAGCACGTTCACCGCCTCTGGCAACGGCGCCGAGCCTACGGAGTAGAGTCTATCGTTGAAATCTTCTGATGTATAACCGATTGGTGTGACTCCTTTGCGTACGGCAGTTTGCTGCCATATAAATCCGTGTCTTTGTGCTCGCTTGTTTCCCCCATACCCTCTTCTCTGCTTTGCCCAAGAAATGGCACTCCGGTTTGCCCTGTTGCGTGATTATCAGCGCGGCGCGCCCGCCTCCTTCCGTACACGCTCGCAATTCGAGGTCTTCTTCATAGATCTTGATACGGAAGAGGAGCTCGTGCGCTATTTGCGCCGTCCTGAAGTCACCAACTTCTCGCAGCAAATTCTCGTCCCCCTTCGTGACCAGGTCATGCTCGTTCGAGATCGATTCCGTGGCTCGCCCCCCGCGGCTCGCGATTCCCCGTGGATCCGCCACCAGACTTCGGTGTACATGCGTTATCTTGTGAGTCGTTATTCCATGGCAGCGCTCCTGATGAACTCTTCCTGACAATCCGTAGGCGTACATTCACCGCGCTATTGTCCCAGATGTACACGGCATCGTCGGAAAACGCGTGCCGACCCCGTCGGTGGCGAGCCTTTTGTACATGATGCGCCTTATTCGTCGCTTCGGCTTCGCGGGAGACGATATCGCCACTATTGCTGAGTGCGCCGAAGACGATCTTTTAATCGTTTTCAATCATGCGCACGAAACGATTTTCGCCATGGCCGCCCGTCTAGCTGACGTCCCCCCTCAATATGTCGCCACGCTTTCCGAAATTCAGATGGCCCCCCCTGGCGGGGTTCTTTCTTCATCGCCTCTGCTTTCCGAACGCGTCACGAACCTCGACCATGAACCGGACGCAGTTTCCTTGTCCGTTGATCCCGTTCCCTGCTCCACGGAGGGTGAACCCGTTGCGTACTTGTAGCGTAGACAGCCGCCTGTACGGAGTTCCCAAAATAGGCAGTTGTTATTGCCGGTTCGTGATGCCGGAATCCTTAAGCGATATTCACGGATTCGTTTTGCCTCTGTCGTCCCCTTCCCCTTTAAAAGAGCGTGGAACCGCCGCTGTTTGTCCGACCACTCCTTCCCGTCATGGATCTTTTTGCTATTATCGAAGGCGACGAGAATTCTGTCGAACCCCGCACCACGGAGGAATTGACTCGTATCCCCGAAGCCCTGCAGCTCCTCCTAGCTCCGTACCGTTCTCGCCTTCCCGATAGTCGTTTATACGGAGAAGACCCCCACGGTGTCCTTCGATACTTCGAGGAAGTTGTCGGCCCCTACGCGCAACTTATTGACAAGGCTTTCCCTACTCGCGCGCTCGCGAAACACCAACTCCGTGCAGAGTCTATTGAGTTTCTGACTCCTCATGTCGGCGAGCTGCTTCGTTTCCTG